ATGTTATTTTTTATTATCCGTGAATGTTAGCAACTGGACAAATTTTTATTTGGTCGACGGTATAGTTTTGGCAATCGTATAAAAGCATTTTTACTTAATATTTCCTCTACATGATATTATCAATTACAATTTAATCATAAGTATAACGAATATAAATTACAATTACTTCTGCAAATACTGTTTTCATTCGACTTAACAGAAACCTAATCTATAATGTTTAGAAACACTAACGTTAACGTCGCTCGGCTTTAGTTTTCGAGATGTTTAAAAAGAACGTTAGTTAAATTTAGACTAGAAGTAAAATATAGGGGTTATTTACAATATTTATTTAAATATCTATATTTTAAATATAGAGATTTCAAAAAAAAGGTAAAGTGGAGGTTCCCAGTTAGCCAAGTCTACTTCGACCAAATATTGGGTTAGCAACTAAGTAATTGCCGATTTCAGTTATAGATGTCTCTCACTCCCATTTTTATGATATCCGTAAATGTTATATTATAAAATTATTATTATTATTATTATTATGTTATTTTTTATTATCCGTGAATGTTAGCAACTGGACAAATTGAATGCAGCGGTCAAGGAAAAGCGACCAGAATTGGTCAATCGTAAAGGTGTCATTTTCCAGCAGGACAATGCTAGGCCGCACACGTCTTTGTCCACTCGGCAAAAATTGATGGATGTTGGTTGGGAATTGATGTTACACCCACCATATAGCCCTGATCTCGCACCATCGGATTACCACTTATTTCGATCCTTGGACAACTCACTTCGTGGTAAAACTTTTAACGATGATGGCGCTGTAAAATCTCACTTAACTCAGTTTTTGACCGAAAAGGATCAGACTTTCTACGAGCGTGGAATTTTCAAGTTGTCAGAGAGATGGCAAAAGGTCATCGAACAAAATGGAAAATACATTACAGATTAAACTTCGTTCCAAGTAAAAAAAAATCTTTTATTTCATTGAACAAATCGGCAATTACTTAGTTGCCAACCCAATGTATACATATAAAACGATATAAAACGCTTGGTACTGTGCTTTGCGAGCAAATATATATCAATTTGGTGCAAACACATTGCTTTTGGTTCGCATTTGATGTGTATTTCGTTGAGGCCCTGGCCTGAAAACCCTGGCGTAATACGGAAGTAGATGGCTCGGTATTTGGGAGCAGACACTTTGCGTTGCCAAATGGATGGCAGATCTGGCGTAATCTTGTAGCGAAACGTTTCGTTTAAAAGGGGCAGATCGGTAGCACTCATGTGGCGGATGTGGTAGTGGTATAAGGTTTGGCCTGGAATTGGCCCGTATTTGGCATGGACAAGACGTCGGTGCCAAATCTGGTGTGAAATGCGGAAACGGATAGCTTGGTATTTGACATAACAGCGTACGGTCAGATTCATGTCAAAATCAGGACAAATTGCTTACTGGGTTGTTGGTCGTGTTTATGAACATGCGGGGAGGAAGAGGTTCGGCGGCCGTTCCACAGTGGGACAAATGGGCAATCTAGATGAAAGAAATCATGTCAGGAAATAGATTTATTATCTATTCATCTGGAATTTATTATCCATTTATTTATTATCTATTTATCTATTTTTATTTATTTATTATATAATTTATTATCTGTTATCTATTTATTCCGGTTCCAGAATGTTTACTAAGACTAATGATAACCGTTGCACAAAAACTTGGAATCGAAAAATAATGAAATTATACATTCATTTGTGTCAGAAAAAACGTTATATGATTGTGAACTATATCGTGCACGAACAGACATTTCAAAACCAGTATAAAAATTTATTTATCGATTCATTTTACAAGATAAAAATTTGATTGAAATCGATTAACGTTGTTATAAGATACAATAAATTAAAGATCGAAAAAATAGCAGTTTCTTCTCGATTTTTGATTTTTTGTACGCTCTTCTACACTCGGGGGGAGGGGGGTGGGGGGTCGATATTTTTCTTATTACATTTTCTTGAAGTTTGAATCCTTGAAAATATGTTTGCATAGCCGTTTATCGGAATTCGTAAAATTGGCCGATATGTAGATTCTTGAAGCGAACGCTTGCGTCGCTAATTTACTATACGGGGAAAACTTTAAACACATTAATCTCGAAACTGTGTCATTCAAAATATTGTTCGCGATCTTTCAAAAACTGATTTGCCGATTACCACGAAACTTTGCACAAATATTCAGTATTTCTATGGCTATGGTTCGAACCAGATTTGTCAAAATATTCTCATCCTCTCTATCTTTTTCGCACTCGCATAGTTAAAAAAATAAGTGAAAAAATCGATAAGTTAAGTTCAGGGAGCCGTGAATTTGTATTTATCGATATTTTCTCTTTTACCTAGTTCCTGCCATAGCTATAGTTATACTTTGTATATTAGTCATTTTTTCGTTTCCAGACACCATCAACTGCGGATTTTTAAAACCCCCTTTAGACAACGGTTTTTGATACCGGCCATTTTTCCTTCATTCCTAACGAAACTTTAGAGACATGTACTCCAAGGTTGTACAAATAAATCCTATTAATCCCAAAACGCAAGGTGTTAATGTTTCTTTACAACAATTTCTCAAAAATATGAAAAAGAATTCGAGACAGTAGAAACACCCTTAACCGATTTCGATCAAATTTCCAGCACGCGCATAAATTACCGAGATCTTCGAGAGGCATTTTTCAAATTTTCGTTATAGGCTCAGATAAAAAAGTTAAAAAACGATAATTCTTTATTCTTTTCCGTCAATCCAAGTAACAGCAGAATTTAAAAAAGAAACAGCATTTTAGTCATTCCCTAGTAGACTATTCCCACTATCATCTGAAAAAGCTTCGTCATTTTTAGTCCCGTTTGTAAAACAGTTACTAAGTTTTAAGAGGTGTACGAAAACTTTCGCGGACCCCGTACATAGGAAAAAGTTGTTCCGTATTGATGACCTCGGCTACATATTTCAAGGCCATTGAAATCGGTGTTGAGAACCCCATTCCGATTAATTACTGCTCTGTCTTCTTATTATCTTTCAACTGGTTAGAATTTCATTTGTGGTTTATCATTACCATTTTTCGGTAGCAATAAAGGTTCGTTCAAAGGTCAATAAGCGATAGGCGAACAGGACGCGTGCTCCTTCGCCGATGTTTCGTGACCTTCGATTCAAATAAGATCTTAATTCCGTCTACGAGATACGAGGTAACTGCAAAGTCCGCGTACCGGTTGTTAATGTCGTTCTTGGTTCACGAGTTCTCATGGGCAGCAACTGCGAACAAGGTGGTACGCTTATTCGGTACTAATGTACTCCACTTTCTCCCATATGACAACGCGGCAGAAGTCACAACAGCCTTTTGGAATCCATAGTCACCTGCGAGGACATTAACCGGACGCTGTAATCTTTGCAAAATTCAGTAGATCTCGGTATATTGGAAGAAGTATGTATGTATTAGCAATTTCGATCGGTTAACATTGGTTTAATAATATCTGTCCACAAAATATATGATTGTTGTGTGAATATCGATTTCGGATAATAACTGATCAATATATGAGCCGTTTATTTTGAAAGTGGCATAAGTCACTTTACCGTAATGAAAAGTGGCGATTTTTTAATGTTTATACGAAATTATTTATACTGAGAAAAATATCAGTATCCTGAGATAACAAATACAAATAAACCTTCTCGAAAGTTAGCATCCATATTTTTAAACGTGTTAAAACGCAAACCCTTAAATATATTGACTTAAAAACAAAGTGGCTTATGCCACTTTCAAAATAAACGGCTCATATTGAAAGATCTGCCAATAACGCGCAATCGAAGTCAAACACGGGCGCGAGCATTTGTATTTGTATTTGTATTTGTATTTGT